TGGCCTCATGATGCATTATTGGCACTATGGAATGCAGCCTCAGGCCCTCTTTTAAAACCATGTCTAAGTACTTCAACTTCTCCAAGTCTGATTCTTCTACCATCCTTTCAATTCCTACCAATTCTTCTAACTCTTTTTGGAGTTTCTTCATCACATGAGAGTGCCTAATTAGCTCAGTGAGTATTCATTCTATTGATGTTGCTGAAGTGTCTGCTGCTGCTATTAGCATGTGCTGTATGGAAAAGGAAGCAGGGAAATTATTTATTGAAATTAGAAAATTTAATCTAAAAATTTGTGGTTTCTTGAGCTTATATTAGAATGTAAAATGGAATGGCAACCTACCACGAGGATAGCTTTTATATGTCGACGGTCAAACTGATACTCTACTTCTCCTGATTGCATAATCTCGATCATGGTGTCGACAAAGTCCTTGGTCTTCTTCTGGTCATGAGACTGAACATGTTCGTCAATAATCTTCTCAAGAAACTCATCAAACACCTTTGAAAGATCTTTGAGCTTGCGATTGAGTCCCTGAAGATCAACTACACCAAGAAAGGGGAAAAAATCTCCAAGATTCGGTGTCCCAGCGAAATGCACAACTTGTTGAACTACAGCTTTGAATCCCCTCTTGTCAAAGTCCTCATCCATATACTTCTTTCCAAAGACCATTAAGCAAGTCAAGCTAGCATTCAAGGATGTAACCTTTGCACTAAGATCAACAACAGCGCGATCATGAGCTTGTTCTTTAAGCGAGTTGATCAGAAGTTCAACTTGTTGCTTTCTCATGGATTGAAATGAATTAATCTTGAGATTACTCAAAAGGTGCACAGTGCACAATTTGCGCATGTTACGCCAATATGGTCCATACTTTGCAAAAATCATATTCTTCTGGCCATAGGACATATATTGAGATGCCTCGTTACGAGACCTACTAGCAAAGATGTGATCATATGTCTTGAGGACCATGTTTGTTGGCTAGTTTTTGTAAATCTTTGTGTGGATATTTACCTAACAAATGAAGATGTCCTAAAATGGGAAGCCCTTTTGGACCAGGAGGAAACCTTTTTCTCTTCTGAATGTTTAGCAGCTCATAGAAGGCATATACTAATAGACCAACAATTAGAGTTGCCCATATAAAAGCCATGGCTAATATGACTTNTTTTAACTGTTTAATAACCAGATTGCGATACAAGTAATAACTAAAAGGAGGATTTAAGTTATATATCAGATAGCATATAATTTACCAAGACAATTTAATTATTTATAACATGCTATTATTTCATTTTTCAAGTCACAATATCACAATTGTTATGAGTTATTTGTTATTATAGGTCAACTTAACTTGACAACATTGCAAAAATTTAAAATTTAAAGAAGGATGGCATTGCCTCTTATAAAAAAGAAATCACTTGACAATTTTAAGACAATATCTATTAGGATATGTAATAAAAATAAATTTGAAGTAAAGGATAAATAAATCTATAAATAATTTTTTTAAAATGAAATATAAAAAATATTTTGAATTGAAAGATAATCATGTATTTAAAAAACATGAATATTAATAGTGAAGAATATCATTTTAGACGAAAGTTTTCAATTAATAAATTTAACATTCTTCTAAAACTATTATTATTATTATTATTATTATTATTATTATTATTATTATTATTATTATTATTATTATTATTATTATTATTATTATTATTATTATTATTATTATTATTATTATTATTATTATTATTATTATTATTATTATTATTATTATTATTATTATAATTTATAAGTAAATCTATTTAAGAATGCCTTATAAAGTGGCCAACTGGAAAATTATTTGATTTCTCCAATAATAACATAGCATTATTTTCATTTTTGATAACCAACATACTATCATTTTCTTTGTTGCGTGAATAGTGTAACTTTACTGATTACTATTGTAGTTTAGTTGTTGTAACTGTATATTTATTGAAAACATCTAAAACAAGTTTTGTGATTTTTGCCTACTAATGATAATATATAAAATTAAATCATATTGATTTAATTTTTATATGTACAAAATTAATAGATGTGGTATATAAGTAGCACTCTTAAAATTTAGTAAATTAAGAATATAATATCAGTATTTATAACCCAAGATTCAATTAAAAATTATAAGATTTCAAAATTATTTTTAACACATTAAATTTAAAAAAAATTTAGAAAAAAAATCAATTTCTAATTATATGTACTACAACAACAATAATTATTAAAAATAATGTTAAAATAAATTTATGAAAAGCTTCACCCATAATTATTAATATAATATATTAGAAAATTATTAAGTCTAAGTTTCAGATCGTTGTATTTATAAAGGTATGGACTGTTATTTTATTCTCTAGCAAAAATTACTGAAAGGAGGAAAATGATAAATGATGATTAAAAAAATATATGTTATTTGTAAATAATAAAGTGAATAAATAATTTGATAGTCTAGTAAATAAGACATGGGCTTTGCTATAAAATGAATATATACGTAACTCTAAAATATAATATTGGATAATGGCACAAGTTAATCATTATACAACTTATAATTCGAGCAACTAAAGCTAAATTTTTCTCAGAAAATACGCTGAACAATAATGTTGACTCCAACTAAGTTAAAATACCTTCTAAATTCAAGCAAAAATGATTTTCTATCATATTATTCTTTTATTATTATTAAAAGTCAAGTCATATTTTTATTTCATATATATGGGACTATTTTTTATTAACTAAACATGTATTTACAAATGAACCACTTTCATGAGTTACAGGTAGGAAGGGTTTGAAGATTATAATGACCATAATTAACAATGACAAATAAAGTTAGAAACACACCAAAAAAATTCTAAATTCATTTGATTATAATATATTGTTATTCGTTTTAAGTCATGTTATATTTTTAGATTATTTAATTATAGTACAACCTAATAATTATGATAATCATCAAAAAATTACTCGATGTTATATGAGTCTTTTGATTTAATTACATAAACATTTATTAGGGTAGATAAGAGGACAATAATAATTTTGTTAAACCAAATGATGTAACGTGCTCAAATAAATTAGATAATATTTCGATATGACTAATATTCACCAATAATGTCCGCCCATCGCGCGTGTGGGTATTAATACTAGTTTAATTATCTATAACATGGTATTACTTTATTTTTCAAGAGTTGCTATGAGTTATCTGTTATTGTAGGTTAATTTAACTTGACGATATTGCACAAATTTAAACAAGGATGACATCGCCTCTCATGTTCATTAACAGAACTTCCCTCCTCTCCCACCAGAAAAAAAAAAAAAACAACAATAACAGCATCAAGAAAAGGGAGATCTAATTACGTAATGTTCAAACGTTGAAACTCCATGACGATTGACGAATAATCCACCAAAAAGCAATAGAATTCTTTTTTTGAGTAATATACACTAGACGAACATCGCTCAATATACTTACTGTATTTTTTAACCAAATACTTAATACCCTTAACCTAGAATAAATTAATACTGTTGATAAAGACCAAATTAGCCCCATAATAACTCAAGCCATAGATGAGCCGCAAAAGCCAATTGGTAGGTCTGCTTGTTATTAAATTGCCAAAAAATAAATTAATACTGTTGCTAAACAGCAAATTAGCCAACACAAGTCAGCCATAGATTAGGTAAAAATTGTGTAGGGTAGCCACTTTTTAAAGTGGTATATATTAACCACTAGTCTATTAAAATTAATATGAAAAGACTGTATTACCCTTTCTTCTATCTCTTTCATGCTAGGGAGAAGAACTGTGCCCAGGGAATTCATGGGGCTACATCAATGACTGAAATTGCTCTTTTTTCGACTTCAATTTTGTGTTCATTGACGGACCTTATAAATGGTAGTAGTCTGAGTGTGGTTGGTCGAGCTTCTGAATCGCAGGAATACAGAGAATTGCAAATTATTGGTGGATCTGGAATTTTTAGGCTTGCTCAAGGTGTTGTTACTGCTAAGACTTATTTCTCAAGCAATACAACTGCTATTGTTGAATATAATATCATTGTACGTTATTACTGATTATTTTGTTACTTATTTTTTGTCTTAACTTTTGGGGGAACAATAAGCTTAGCTCCGAAAAATTGAACTGAGTAATGTTTGATAAATATGTTTCTTTGAGTTTTAGATCTCACAGTTGTTACAAATAATGTTGGGAAAGCGATTATGATGTTATTGTTTATATATATAGCTGCTTATTTAATGAACTTAGAATTATAAGTTCAAAAGTTAAGGACATTTGGTCCTGAACTTAGATTAACAAGCTCAAAAGTTAAGGACAATAGGTCATGAACTTAGGCTAAGAAGCCCAAAAGTTAAGGACAATAGGTCTTGAACTTACAGTTACAAGTTCAAAAGTTAAGGACAATAAGTCCTGAAGTCCTGAACTTAGACTAACAAGCTCAAAAGTTAAGGACAATAGGTCCTGAACTTAGGCTAAGAAACCTAAAAGTTAAGGACAATAGGTTCTGAACTTAGACTAACAAGTTCAAAAATTAAGGACACTTGGTCCTGAACTTAGACTAACAAGTTTAAAAGTTAAGGACATTTGGTCCTGAATTTACAGTTACAAGTTCAAAAGTTAAGGACATGCACTACAAGAAATTGGATTATTAGTGGCAACATATAGTAGCGACCCTATAGGTTGCTACAACAGCTATATTATTAGCAGCGACATCTAAAGTCGGTGCGGAAGGATAATTTTAAGCAGCGACTTATTTTGGGTCACCTCAGATATGGCTGAAATTTTCAGTCCCACTAAAAATAAAATTTTGGCTCCATAATATTTGTGGCGACTATGGAAAAGTCGCCGCTAAAAGTATCTGGCAGCGACTGGGTTGCTCCTATAACCTAGATTTTTACTTTTAAAATAATAAAGAAAATAAAAATTAAATAAGCTAATTAAAACTTGTTTGTGGAACAGAACCCACAAAGCTGCGAGTGAAACAACAGAGGAGCAAAACTCTCTCGAGAATATCAGCCCTCTCTCTCTAAAAATTAAATCAGGTCTTCATCTAAAATTCATCCAAATCAAAACCCCTCAAATCAAAATGTGAATCTCATTTGTTAGGTATGTTCAACTCCCTAATCTTTTCATTTTTTGGGGGAAAAAATTTGATAATCGATCGATTTCGTGTTGTGGCGGAAGAATCAGAATTCTAGAAAACGCTACTTTGTTCTTCACGATCACCTTCTCAAGAACTTTAAGTCAGACCCTGTTTCAAACAACGAGGTCCATCATTTTCTCTCTCTCTCTCTCTGTGTGTTGTCTTGTTGCCATATATAGTGCTAATTCTTGATAAACTATTTGGGTAAATTTCTGGGTTTTTGTTTTTTTTATTAAAGTTTAGCATTGACAAGAATGGCTTAAGTTTAATTGATATCAAGTTCTTGCCAACTGATTTGCCTATGTGCTATGTTATTTTTTTGTGCTGATACTAACTATCAGAGGCAAGTAACGTTGCACCCAATTCTTTGTGACAATGTGTTCGAAATTAATACCCACCCACACAAACATTTATTTATATGCATGCTGGGTTATAGATTTTAGCCCTTTTGAGTTATCACGTTCTAACTTAATAATTTGTATATTAGGAAATAATTTTTTTAAGAAAAATAACATTCCAAAGCTACTGGGTTCTATCGAATCATACCTTCTAACTCTACATCTGCCCCTACATTTAACATATGGAGTTTTGAGATCTCAATTTTATGGACTTGAAGTTGTAGTTTAACAGCGTCGAGTGAACACCTTGTATGTTTGTTTAACAGCGTTCTGGCCTACTTCACCGATTAGGCATATACTGGAAGTTTTAGTTGTGATGAAACCTGCATCTTCTGCTTGCTTATGTAAGATATAAGTAGTTTTGTACTAGCTAGAAAGAGCTTCAACTAGTAATGGAGAGCAAGTAGCTAAGCAGTTCCAATGCATCTAGTACAAATGATTTCATTGGCTATTGCTTGTAAAAAAGCAATATTTCCATTTGAATTCATGTCAATTCTTCAAGTTTATTTGGACTTTCTTGTTGAATTATCCAACAAAATAACAGAATAGGGATTGTTTTCCTCCTTGGTCTTTCTGACAAAAGTTTCAACATGCAGTTAGGGATAATTATTTTTCAGCAATTTCACTTTTGTATTCTTAGATTTTATCTCGAATTTCTCTGAGCCATTTGATAATCTACAGGAATACCAAAAAAATCACACAAAAAGAATCCTTTGAAGCGTATTTGGTGTTGTTATTGTCGATTCTTGGTCTTGACAGAATCTCAGCTATCTCTTTTCCTAGGTAAGTTAAAATCTTCTTATTGAGAGACATTTTACATGTCGGCATTCAATTCAGTTTGAATTATTATATGAGCTTCGTAGGTTCTTTCAGTTATGTCCCCTTACCACTTAGATCTCGACTTTGATATCGCAATAATTTGATTTTCTCTTCCTAGGATTTAAAAGGGAGTTGTTTCAGTCCTTGCCGTAGTTCTGTTGTTATTGCATTTGATATGAAGTTTAAAAAGAATTGCAAAGGAGCAGTTTATTAAATATATTTTATGAATACTTAAAGCTTCTTATTTCGTAGTATCTGTTATATTTCATAGTATCTGTTATATATAGTCTCATTTTCATCAACAATATGTAGTCTTATGCTCACAAAAGATATAGTCTCGTGCTCACAGAAGCACTACAGGTTAAAACGATTGAATTGAACTAAAAGTAAAATTCATGACACTTTGAGTCTAGTTGGGTAAGATATGTTAATCTGTTTATCAAAAAGGTGTTTATATTATGTGGTAGTGTATAAATTCTTTTTATGAAACTATTTATTTTCCTTGTTAATCTAAAGGTGTGTGAGAAGAAAAAATTGCTACAATAATTCTATTTTATTTATAAGTGATTTGATTTGTTCATCTTTCTTTGGTATGCTAATTATTATAGATATTTTGATTATTATCATCCTTCCACTTTTAATTAGGTAATCATTTATTTATTTTTGAAAATAGATATGATGGATAAAAGTTGGTTGAATATAAGGAATAGAGTCTACCAAAGGTATAGAGATGGAGTAGATAACTTTCTTAATTGGGCATTCAGTCAACCAACTGTGAACACAATGATTTGGTGTCCTTATAAAGGGTGTATGAATATCGCGTTCAAGCTAAGGGTTGGTGTAAGAGGAGATTTATTGAGGAAGGGTTTCTGGGATTCTTATAAAGTGTGGGACTTGCATGGAGAAGTGTTAGTTAGAGTTGACACTTCTAATACTGCAGTTAGTGATGAAGCAGAAGATGATAGCATTGAAGAAGATAATATTACTAAAATGATTCACGATGCTTGTGGATATACGAATATGGAGGATAATAATAGTAATAATTCAGTGGACAATGAAGAGCCAAATGTACATGCAACAAAGTTTTACAAATTGTTAGAAGATGTTGAGATAGAACTTTATCCTGGTTGTAAAAAAGTCTCGAAGTTGTCTTTTGTTGTTAAACTACTTCACTTGAAGTGTCTTAGCCATTGGAGCAATAAATCGATGGATGCATTGTTGAGCTTCTTTAAAGAAGTTCTTCCCGAGGGGTCATTTGTGCCAAATTCTTTCTATGAAGCAAAGAAAGTTCTTTGTGACCTCGGCTTGGGGTACACCAAAATAGATGCATGTCGGAATGGTTGTATTTTATATTGGCATGCTTATGCCGATGTCCAAGCATGTCCTAAGTGTGGTAAGTCTAAATGGAAGTCTGAAGAACACGGAGGCAAGAAAGTAGCTCATAAAATCTTACGGCATTTTTCAATCAAACCAAGACTTCAAAGATTGTACATGGCAAGAGAAACAGCTAAAAAGATGAGGTGGCACAAGGAGGAAAATATTGATGATGGTGTCTTGCGACATCCGTCTGACTCAGTAGCATGAAAATCCTTTGATGCACAACATCCCACCTTTTCAGCTAAGTTAAGAAATGTTCGATTAGGTTTGGCGAGTGACGGGTTCCAACCTTATGGGAATATGAGTTCTAATCATAGTATTTGGCCAGTCGTACTAGCTACGTAAAACTTGCCACCATGGGATTGCATGAAAAATCCATATTTCATGATGACACTTCTTATTCCAGGCCCCAAGTATCCAGGAAATGATATCGATGTATATTTACAACCAATGATTGAAGAGTTGAAAGAATTATGGGATGGGGTGGAGACTTATGATGCGCACTCAAAATCTAATTTTCTGATGCGTGTGGCTATTATGTGGACGATCAATAACTTTCCTGCATATGAGAATCTTTCAGGATTGTCAACCAAAGGTAAGCTTGCATGTCCTTGTTGCCATAAAGATACACAATCGACTTCCTTGTGTAGTAAGTTGTGTTATATGAGTCATCGTCGCTTTCTTCCCATGGACCATCCATGGAGAAAAAGTAGGACGTTATTTGATGGGAAAGTTGAAATGGGAGTTGCACCTAACCCTGTAACCGGTGATGAAGTACTTTTGCAATTACAAGCTTTGGGTAATGTGACTTTTGGTAAAGGACAAAAGAGAAAGTGTGATGTTCATAAAAATGCTTACAACTGGAAGAAGAAAAGTATCTTTTTCTAATTGCCTTATTGGAAGAGTCTTATGTTACGACATAATCTTGATGTGATGCACATCGAAAGAAATGTGTCTGACAATATTATATCAACTGTCATGAATATGGTTGGAAAGACAAAAGACACATTGAAAAGTAGATATGACTTGATGGACCTTGGAATCAGACAAAGGTTGCATCCAATTGAGGATGGGAACAATATTTTGTTACCGACTGCGTGCTATGTATTGTCCCCGGAAGAGAAGCTGAAGGTATGCAGTTTCTTAGCTAATCTGAAGGTTCCTGATGCCTTTTCCTTAAACATTTCAAGGTGTGTCAATGTACAGGAAAAAAAGATACATGGATTGAAATGTCATGATCATCATGTATTGTTGCAAGATATTTTTCCAGTAGCTATACATGGTTTGCTACCCAAGGAAGTGTATGATCCAATTATACCCTTAGGAAATTTTTCAAGAATATATACTCTAAGTGCTTGATGATTGAAGATCTTGATATCCAAGAGGCAGAAATTCCTATTATTTTGAGCAAACTTCACCTTGTTTTCCCTCCGGCGTTCTTTGATGTCATGGTTCATTTGCCAATTCACTTGCCAAGTGAGGCAAAGCTTGGTGGACCAGCTCAATATCGGAATATGTATCCTATAGAGAGGTAATTTATTGTTTAATAATCTCGATACTATAGTTTTAGAATGACATATATTATATTAATGGGTTATTTTATATAGGTATTTACGAACACTTAAGTCATATGTTCGCAACAAAAATCGTCCAGAAGGTTCAATTGCAGAAGGTTATTTGGTAGAGGAAAGCCTCACATTTTGCTCGCGATACTTGAAGAATATCTCAACCAAGTTTAATAAACCAACTAGGAATGACGATGGATCTGTGTCAAATGATGTGATGTCTATCTTCAAAAAAAGTGTTCAAACAAAAGGTACTTCAGACGACATCAAGCTATCTCATGATGAGTTTAAACAAGCATGTACGTATGTGCTTCAAAATTGTGAAGAGGTTTCGCATTTCATGGAGTAAGTATCTTATTAACTCCACGGTAGTTTCATACTGATATAATTCGAACCCGATTTATCTTAACTAACTTAAAAATGTAGGGAATACACAAGAGAGATTGAAAGCCAAAGTTCAATGAGAGCTCATAAAAATGAGTTTCTTGATTGGTTTCGCGCACATGTAGGTGTCTACTTAATTACTAATATTGATATTAGTTTAATCATCCCATCATGTTATTGGTCATAATAGTGTTGTTCGTCTTTGTAGATATTTGTACTATCTTCACAAGGACGAGCAAATGATGAGCTCATAAGCTTAGCCGTCGGCTCTGCACCATTAGTACATCGATATTCAACATTTGTGGTGAATGGATTTAAATTCCATACAAAAGAACTTGCATTGAGAAGAAAAATGCAGAATAGTGGTGTTCTTGTGAGATGAGATGATTCAGACTCTAATAAGGAGTATTATGGTGTATTAGAGGATATTTATGAGTTATCTTATGTGGAAAACAGAAAAGTTTACTTATTCAAGTGTCATTGGTAGGATGTGGGTCGCTTAGGAAGAGGATATAAGATAGACAAATATGGCTTCACAAGTGTGAATACTCGGTGTGCCTTAAATACAAATGAGCCATTTGTGTTGGCATCTCAATCGGAACAAGTCTTTTACTTGGACGACATGGTCGATAATGATTGGCTTGTTCTTGTGAAGACAAATCCTTGCGACCTTTTAAAATGCCTGATAATGATGATAATTGTGTAGAAATTGAAGATGAAGAATTACTGAATGAAGAAGTCTATCAACAAGAGGAAGCTGAATTTAATACTTCGTGCACCAATGACCAAGAAAATATTATTAAGGTGTCTCTACATAAGGATAATGTTGAACCACAAAGTATTAACTATGATCATGCAAGTACGCAAGCTCAAAATAATGTGCATAATGAGAAAGCCGATTTCATTAATGACAATCATATAGAAATATCAGAGAGTTGATATAATATTGTCAAACACATTTCTTGGAAGTCAGGATTTTAAGGTACTAACTTAATACCTGAAGATTCTGCCAACCAAAGGGCACCATTCACATCTTTGAAAGGTGATCTATTAATATGTTTACTTATAGTTTGTCAATGAGAGGAACAAAAGAAATAGAGAAAAGCAAGTAACTAAGCATACTTGTGGTACAAAGTCTTTTGCAGAAATAGAGGAATCTACGGTAAAAATATATTTAGTCCCCTACTATCACATATGCTTCTTTGTTACTTACATATTTATATATTTGCCTATATATTTTTTGTCCAAAATTATATTGCAGAGAAATCCTATTACTGGAGAAATAGACCCACCAGATAAAGTTTGAGAGATCCAACATACACGCAAGGATGATAGAGGAGAATTGGTGTGAGTGGATCCACAATCCCAACAAATTCATGTAATTATCTAAAATCATAGACTATTATCTTTTTGTTTCTGTAAGTTACATTCAGTGTGTTTTATAATATTTTGATGTAAATGATTATGCATAAATCCAGGGTCAACTCCAAGAAGTTGTCACTCAGCAACAATCTGAAGAGATCGAGCATCCTATGACTAGAGATGAGATTTTATCCACTGTTCTTGGTGAGAGAACAGGTTATGTTCGCGGAAAAGGATACGGAAAGAAGCCTCCTAAAAAGAGTAATATGCAGCAGGCAAGCATAGAGTCCAGCGTGTCTTTCGCTATGGAAATTATGCATCAAAAGATGCAAGCCGATATGGATAGAAAGTTGCAAGAATAACGTGAACAAATGGTTGCTCAGTTGCAAAGAAATATGGAACTTGAGTTGCAAAGGAAGTTGGCAGAGGAGCGTGAACAGTCAAGTGTAGAAATAGACAAGAGGATCCATCTAGAAGTGGACAAGAGGATGCATGAACAATTTGCTAGTTTGATGACCAGAATGCTACAACAGGTACTTCCTCTGCTGCTTCTTAACAATTCTTCTTCCTTCTCGGCATTTCTTCTTCCTTCATTCGGGACAATTCTTCTGTCATTTGCTCCATATCTTCTTGTCAACTTCTCCTTCTTTAACTTTCATCCTCTTGATAATAGACTATTGAGCTGTTTTTTGTTTATGTGAAATCTAGATTTTTGCAAACGTTGGGCTTCAGGGGCTTAGTTGGTAATAGACTATTGGGCTGTTTTTAGTCTATATGAAATCTGAATTTTGCAAACCTTAGTTTATGTGAAATATGTACCGTAGCTACTTCAGGGGCTGCTGCTGTGGTTTCTTTGCAAACCTTAGTTGTGTGGGCTGCTGCTGCTGCTGTTTAGTTGGTACTTGTGTGGTTTCTCCTGGTGTTGATTCATGACTATGAGGCTAGTAGAAGGATGTAAATGGAATTGAGGGAGTGGACAAGATGCCAATGAAGCATAAGTTTGTCCNTATAAGTTTGTCCTGAATATGAAACCAATAACTCTTTTTAGATAAAAAGAAGCACATCATCTTTAAAATTTGTAGACCCCCTCTAAACTAAATCAAAAGGATCAGAATCTTTTGACAAGAAGTGCCTTAATTAAATTCTAGCTGATGACTTAGACTAATGCAAGAGTTAGGCATGAAAAAATTCAAGTGTTCATTCTTAACGTAGCATAACTGGAAAAAGTAGGATTCTTTTTTGTTTAAGTATCACTTCTTTTACATACTACCTGAAAGGACCAGAATAGTGATAAAAAGAAGGATATTTTGTTTAAGTATCACTTCTTTTACATACTAGCTGTGGACCAGAATGGTGATAAAATGTAACCATCATGGATTCAGTAAAGGATATTTTGTGAAAGGATTAACGACCTGCAAAAGTAGGATTCAAGTTATAATTACATCATCTTCAACTGGTAGTAGAAAACTCGATCGGAAGGTTAGTTTACTTACAGTTGTCCACACATCAACCTTAAAGCTATTAAACCTTTGGGCAAATTTAGAGTAAACTGGGAATCAGCTGAGACCCTTTTGTTATCCTTGAAGTTTTTCTATGCATGTTTTTGATATAAAAAATATCATTATGTTCCTTATATATAGTTTTTTTAGCAGGGACAATGCACTTAAACAATGGTATCGTGCAAGGATGGTGTCGACCAAGGAGCAGTTACAAGACACTTAATATTTTGTCTTTTTTGAGATATGTATATGCGTACAATTATATTACAATGCATAATGAAGTGTAGTTTTGTATTATGAATTGACCTTTTTAGTAATGAAAATATTTATAATATTCAGTTTGAGAAACTCTTTTGGTATTTTTAAATATTATTGGTTGCTTTTAATATTGGTATTCAATTTATGTGAATATACAATCATTAAATTTAGAGAATTCAGTTCCTACCGGAAATATATATAATTTCGTCATTATGTAGTTTTTGAGAAGATAAGTTTTACTGGCGACATTATTTTGTCACAAAATATAATGTTAAATTTGCCAATCTTCATTTTGCAGCGACTTTAGTCACTACAGAAATATATTGTGTCTTTCATGGTTTATTATATTATAGCGACACGGGTCACTACTAATAGTTATTTATAGTGGCGGACCTTAACTTGCCACTAAAAAAAGTTTTGGCAGCGATAGTACTCGCCACTAAAGATGAATATTAGTGGAGACCAAGCTAATTTTCTATTCTTGTGGAGCCAATTTTGTAGTGAGGTTTCTCACCTTTTGTGGAAACTGTGTCGCTGCAAAATGTACCGCTTTTAGCGGCGACATTGCTTTGTCGCCACAAATACATTTCAGGCATGCTTTTGCTTGTAGCAACACAAATGTCGCCACTGATAACATGTAGCAGCGACTTTCAGTAATTTTGTAGCGACTTTAGTCGCCGCAATAAGGCTAATTTCTTGTAGTGATGTAGTCTTGAAGTTAAGTTTAAAAGTTAAGGACATGTAGTCCTGAAGTCCCGAAGTTAAGTTCAAAAGTTAAGGGCATGTAGTCCTGAAGTGCTGAACTTAGAGTTCGAAGTTCAAAAGTTAAGGACGTGTAGTCCTGAAGTCTTGAACTTAGAGTTACAAGTTCAAATGTTAAGGACATGTAGTCATGAAGTCCTTAAGTTAAGTTCAAAAGTTAAAGACATGAGCAGAAGGGTATTTTCGTCCGGCAGTTAAAGTTTATTAAAGTAGTGGCTAAAGACTAAAGACATTTTAAATAGTGACTTAAAAATAAATACATATGTTATTAGTGGCTAATCGTGCACTACCCCTTTAGGTTAGCCCTAAAGTCTATTGGTAGGTATGCTTGTTATTGAATTGATAAAGGAAGGGGATCAATGACTACACACAAATGTCAACGGGCAAAGTAGCCTCTAAGGTCTGGGACCGCTGCCTTCGTTCATTACTATATTCCTATTATATGGCTACTATTCCAAAAGCATTGGCAAGAGGCATGACGCGTTATAAGATATAACTATAGCAATTACCGAAGAAAGTGTTTGTTAGTCCAGAAATAGACAAATCCGAAAATGAAAAAGATACACAACACTAAATTTTAATATGGAAAACACTTCAATCAAAGGTAAATAATTATGTGATCATAAAGATCGAAGTAAATTTCACTATAATAATAAGAGGGACACAAAAGTTTTTCAAATTGCCTAAACAACAAGTGTCAAATACAAAACAACAATAGCAACAAAAATAACAACAAATTAGTTGAAGAAATAAGAGAAAATACCCAAAAATGGAGCTTCTTTTCAAGACTCAAAATCGATGCTACAGACCTTCAAATCCGTTCTCCACCATTAAAATTAAAGACCAAGATGTAAGGAGCACTCAATTAAAATTTTAGCACGATCCACGGTAAACTAATCAGAAAACGCAATTTGAACTTGGTATAATGACCTGATCGGCCGTTTTAAGCTTTAGTGTTCCATTCAGTCGTTTAAGACTTTGAATAGATTTATATAATATATTATAACTTGTGTGTATAGTCGGTTTAGTTTTGGAGTGGTTCGGGATTGATTTGGAAGAATGACTCTCGATATGGAATCTTTTAGTTGGAAGAGTTGACGAAGGTTTGACTTTTAGGTAAACTGATTTGGAATCAAGTTTTTATGGTTCCGATAGGTTCGTATGATGACTTTGGACTTGTACATATGTTCGGATTCGATTTTGGAGGTTCCTAGAAAGATTCGACACTATTTATCGAAAGTTGGCAATTTGAAAAACTTAAGAGTTCATAAGTTTGACTAAGAGTTGATTTTGATGTTATTGGACTCCAATTGGTGTTCCGAGACTTTGGATAGGTCTACGTAGTTGAATTAAACTTGTGTGCAAAGTTTGAAAGTAATCCAATGTGTTTAAGTGTGATTCAAACACTCTTTTGAAAGAACGAAGATTTAATAACGTAAGAGAAAGTCTATTCGGTTTGAGCCTCAATTCTTTGTTGTGATGTTCCCGTGTTTGTTTTGAGACTTTGGGTAATGTATCTGTACTTATAGGTATGATTGGATGGGGTCCTGAAGGGCTCGGGTGTGTTTTAGATCATTGGTTGAGGAACTAGTTAAGGATTTGGAGTTTGACCATGGTTAATATCGAGTCAAGATGATATCTTTTTGGTATTTTGAGTACGTGAGCAGGTTCGTAGCATATTTTATGATTGAAATGCATATGTGGTTTGTGTCCGAGAGGTTCCGAATGAGTTTTGGGTACTAAAACGAAGATTTTCTTATTGCTGATTTATTTCCTGGTATAAATAATTAAAAAAATGCCATTTATGTCCCTAAAATTTTCAAACTTCCTTTAAAACCTCAAAACATCATATCTCCCTCATTTAAGTCCAAATTGAGTGATTCAAAAGGCTATTTTGGATGTAATCTCGCAAAGATTATGCTGGACTTAACAAATGTGAGTTTCAGGGTCATCTAGGATCTGATTCGAGCTGGAACAACTGTTACATTTTTTTTGCTTGTTCCGAAATTTAGTCACTTTTTTTCACAAGATTAAATTTTCCAAACAAAGCGGTGTCACGTGACACCGCTTCACTCTATGTAAATCTGTCCCTGCTCACCATGCACTTTTTGTGCCACATAGTCCAATTTGAAACCTGCATAGGAGATATTAGTGATGTCGAAATTATCCCAAATTGAGGCCTTCTTCCCTATATTGTAACACTCCTCAAATTTATAGAAGTTTAAACACTCGCTAAATATAGAATTAATATTTTTTTCCTTATATTATACTGCTAGTACAGATTTAAACCCTTGTGATTGATTTTGAGTTACTTCTCTATTTATAAATAATTGGATATATAATTAGGGGAATATTAATATATTATATTATTAATAGTGGATATCGTTAAATACTAGTTAAGTTAAAAAAGAGAGAGAGAGAGCTAAAATTGGGCGTGAGGCCCATAGAGTAGTCTGTACGTGAGGGAAGGAAAGGCTTAAGCCTTGGACTAAAGGAAAATAAAAGGCTCAAAAAGACTTAGACAAGTCAGGCACAAACCAGAAGGTCTAAACTTCTGTTCATTCACGTTAGCAAGGTTGTTTACGCAGACAAAAAAATTCTAGGGTTCTTTACAAACCACTAATTCTTGAATTCAGGTATATAAAATTCCCTATTGTCAATTACCCTAAAGTAATAGTATGTAAGAATTAAATAGTTAATTTCCTTCTTCCTCTATATCAACAATAAATTTCATGTTTAGGTGTGAAACTTTAAAATTGATTAAAATGCACTGGTTGTTGTAGAATCGATTGTTTGACTGGTGTTAATTGGACTGGGGCCTACGTATTTGCTCGAGAAGTTTTGAGGTGAGTTTATATAACCTTTTACTAAAGTGGTTTAACTCACAAAAACACGCATACAAGGTGTTTGATGAATTACTTAAAAGAGTTTATATTTACTTAATTGGAGCGAGTGAGTACTTATTAACTTAGAATTGTTCTAGCAAAAGTTTAGATGATTTATTACGATATATGTGTATAAATTTTTAGATTTTTGTATTATTCTTGTATTTTTTTTTCATGTTGAAAATTTATGAAGAAGCAAGAATCTTTAGAAATACTTTTATATGTTTATTTCGTTATTATGCCATGCTTTACATTTAAGAATACCAGCATGAGCATGTACAAGATGTTCTATAAAGAAAAGATTTAGACTTGAAAAGTCACACGAAGAAGTTTTAGAAAGAAAGGATTTTTGGGAGTATCCTTTATTCTGAGAAGGGGTCATCGTCCAGGCCGAGGGTCCTGACCAAGGTGTTGACTTCTTGAAACTACTTGTGCCAAAGTGGGGAGCACACGAGCCGAGGGTATCATTGCTGAGAATTTACTTAGCCATGCTAAGGTATGATACATGAGCGCTGAGAACTATGAAGTGAGTGACACCTCGTGGATTGGGCCTATTCGATCAGGTTGGGATCGAACCCGTGCCGATCACACGGTGACTGAGACAGAATTAAGTTAGGATAGTTGGAACTCCCAAAGAATAAAGTGAAGTATTTTTTTTTATAAGAAAGAAAAAGAAAATAATTTCTTTAGAATATTCATAAACTATTATTATGCAATTATTTTAGAATTATTCTTATAAGCTTTATGTTTTACATGCATTTAGAACCTTTGCTCGTAATGTATATGTCATTAAAGTTTCGCTCCCTGTTGTTGAGACTCACTTAGTACAATGGATGGTACTGACGTTCTCTTTTGGGAACATACGTTGGTCTGCGGTACAATGTAGGAACCAGTTTTGCAGGCGAGCAGGCTACTGGTTAGGACTTCCTTCTCTTCCAGTGCTATTGGTGAGCTCCGCTTTTGTTCCTGGAGTATACCTTAGAGTTATCTTTGTTTAGTTATTTCTTTGTTTACTTAGAGAACTGGCCAGGAAATCTCATATCCTGAGCACTGCGTCAGTTTATCAGTAGAGACTTCATAGACATAGTCGTTAGGTTAAGATTCAGATGTTTTTGATAATAACTTAGCAGTAATTCAGTAGTTACTACGAATAAAGTTTTGAAGTTGATTTATTTAAATATTTAAATTAATCAAAAGTATTTGGTTAGAGTATTGCCTTGTTGCATATAAAGTTTGGAGTTATAATAAATTTGATAAGCAGAGATAGTTCGCTCGGTCATGTTTAATGATCGAATGTCAGTCCCGGCTTGTTCAGAAAATGGGTTGTGACATAGATCTTAATCTGTTCCTGACTTTAAACTG